AATGATATCCCAACCTCGAAATTCAGCACTGATGTCCTCCAGTCTCTCGCTCATACCTGCTGACTGTGGGTTGTTCGTCAGGATTTTCATCTCGAAGAACCAGTTCCCTCTCTGTGCGGCAGCGCCGAGGGCGAGCGTATCTCCCCCGCCCCCTCCCCTGGCTTAGGCGAGAGCAGCGGCCCGTGTAAGTCGCGCGCGGGTGAAATTGTGCCCTCCTGGCGGGTCGATCGCACCTCGGGCTTTCCCACGCAGACTAGGAGGAGGAGGAGGAGGAGGAGGAGGAGGAGGAGGAGGAGGAGGAAAAGGAGAGCGCCATCGACAAGGAAGGTGGGGGCCACGAGGTCCGCCGGCTCGACGACGCCCGCGTCGCCCGCGCCCGCCCCCTCACTCTTATCCGCAATTGCGGGGTGCTACGTAGTGTGGTGTACACAGGCGCTGTGGTGCAGATCGCCACCTACATGCTGCTGCTACCCGTCCTCGGTCATTTTCAAGCATTCCCCGACGCCGCTGGCGCGAAACGTGATCGGCGTCCTCCCCGCCCCGCAGATGCTTGCCGCCGTCGGCCCGGAATAGGGAACATGCTCCAACCACGTCCGCGCGCACGACGACGATGACCGACGGGCGACGAGCGACGACGACAAAGACGACGACGACGACGACGACGGCGACGAAGGCGACGAAGGCGACGACGACGACGACCGCGACGACCGCGACGACCACGACGAGGACGACAACGACGACGACGACGAGCGACGACGACGATGACGACGACGCGAGCAGCATGTAGGTGGCGATCTGCCCCACACCGCCTGTGTACACCACACTGCTCGCGTGCACCACAGCGCGCGTGTACACCACAGCGCCTGCGTGAACCGCAACAGCCGTATGCAACGCAGCGCCTGTGTACACCACAGCGCATGCGTGCACCACATCGCCGGTGTACACCACAGCGAATGTGTACACCGCAGCAACCATGTGCAACACGGCGCCAGTGTACACCACAATGCTTGCGTGCACCACAGCGCCTGTGCACACCACCGCGCCTGTCTACTCTACACCACAGCATCCGCGTGCAACGCAGCGCTGGTGTACCAACAGCGCCTGCGTGCACAGGACAGGTAGGAGGAGCATGTACGTGAGGACCTGCTGCGGCCAGCTACGCGCCATGCCAAGGACGTGCTGATAACATAATGCGACGTCCTTCCCTCCCCCCCCCCCTCCTCCACCTCCGCCTCTTCCTCCTCCTCCTCCTCCTCCTCTTCCTCCTCCTCCCCCTCATCCTCCCTCCCTCACCCTTCCGCCCTGTCGCGCGGGTCGGCACTACAGCGCACGTGCGCATCTCAGCGTTCACCGCAGAATGGTCGATTTAATCTATCCACTTGGTTCTGGGACAGCCGATTTTGCTGAGGAATTAGGATGTTGCGGACGGACTCTGGAGAATTCGGAGATTCCAGCGGCGTTCTGTTTTCCATACGGACTAATTTCCAAGTCCTGTATAACATTATCTCAGTGCGACCCTGCCTAGGAGTTGGAGCCCCTAGGAAAGCAGCATTAGTAGTATCAGTAAAGCTAAGCTAAGGCTTAGCTAAAGCTAAGCTAAAGCTAAGCTAAATTTAAGCTTTAGCTAAGCTAAAGCTAAGCTAAAGCTAAACTAATGCTAAGCTAAAGCTACGGTAACACTAAGGTAAAGCTAAGGTAAAGCTAAACTACAGTTAAGCTAAATCGAAGCTAAAGCTAAGATAAAGCTAAGCTAAGGCTGCGCTAAAGCTAAGCTAAAGCGAAGCTCAAGCTAAGGTAAAGCTAAGCTAAAGCTAAGCTACATCTAAGCTAAAGCTAAGCTAAAGCTAAGCTACAGCTAAGCTACAGCTAAGCTACATCTAAGCTAAAGGCAAGCTAAAGCTCAGCTAAAGCTAAGCTAAAGCTAAGGTGAAGCTAAGGTGAAGCTAAGGCCAAAGCTAAAGCTAAAGCTAAAGCTAAAACTAAAACTCCCGGGGACTGGGGCAACCGCCCGGGGCGGGTTACACTGCCCGGCCCTTTCAGCACACCGAGTAAGAACCTTTCTAGGCAGAGCCTAGGTAGGGAAAAATGCGCTGTGCAATCCACAGGCGTTCCATGCTGTCTACAGAATTCTTCCGAAATGTGCGTATATATATACATACACGCACAAATGGTGTTGTGTTGCACGCGGTTGTGGTGGTGCACGCAAGCGCCGTGAGGTGTACACTGGTGCTGTGCTGTACACGGCTGATATTATGTACGCAGGCGCTGTGGTGTACACAAGCGCTGTGGTACTCGCAGGCACTGTAGCTCACACTGGCGCTGTGTTGCACGCTGCTGCGGTGGTGTACATGGGCGGTGTGGTGTACACAGGCGCTGTGGTGAACGCAGGCAGTGTGGTGTTCACAGGCGCTGTGGTGCAGATCGCCACCTACATGCTGCTGCTACCCGTCCGCGGTCATTTTCAAGCATTCCCAGACGCCGCCGGCGCGAAACGTGACGTCATCGGCGTCCTCCCCGCCCCGCAAATGCTTGCGCCCGTCGGCCTGGAATAGGGAAACATGCTCCAACCGCGTCCGCGCGCACGACGACGATGACTGACGGGCGACGAGCGACGACGACAAAGACGACAACGACGACGACGACGGCAACGGCGACGAAGGCGACAAAGGCGACGACGACGACGACGACCGCGACGACCGCGACGACCACAAAGAGGACGACAACGACGACGACGACAACGACGACGATGACGACGACGCGAGCAGCATGTGGGTGGCGATCTGCCCCACACCGCCTGTGTACACCACACTGCTCGCGTGCACCACAACGCGCGTGTACACCACAGCGCCTGCGTGAACCGCAACAGCCGTATGCAACGCAGCGCCTGCGTACACCACAGTGCACGCGTGCACCACATCGCCGGTGTACACCACAGCGATTGTGTACACCGCAGCAACCATGTGCAACACGGCGCCAGTGTACACCACAATACTTGCGTGCACCGCAGCGCCTGTGCACACCACCGTGCCTGTCTACTCTACACCACAGCATCCGCGTGCAACGCAGCGCTGGTGTACCAACAGCGCCTGCGTGCACAGGACAGGTAGGAGGAGCATGTACGTGAGGACCTGCTGCGGCCAGCTTCGCGCCACGCCAGGGACGTGCTGATAACAGAATGCGGCGTCCTTCCCTCCCCCCTCCTCCTCCTCCTCCTCCACCTCCTCCTCCTCCTCCTCCTCCTCCTGTTCCTCCTCCTCCTCCTCCTCCTCCTGCTCCTCCTCCTCCTCCTCCTCCCCCTCCTCCCTCACCATTCCCCTCTGTCGCGCGGGTCGGCACTACAGCGCACGTGCGCATCTCAGCGTGCACCACAGAATTGTCGATCTAATCAATCCACTTGGTTCTGGGACGGCCAATTTAGCTGGGCCTCCTGGGCGCAGATGGAAGGAGTTAGGATGATGCGGGCGGACTCTGGGAACCAGTTAGATTCCAGCGGCGGTCTTTTTTCCATACCGACTCATTTCCAAATCCTGCACAAAAAAACAATTCTTCGCTATGCAATCCAGAGTCGTTTGATGTTGTCATACAGAATCCTTCCAAAATCATATATGCAAAAACTGGCTTTTCTTGCACACGGTTGTGGTGGTGCATCCAAGCGCCGTGTGGTGTACACTGGTGCTGTGTTGTACACGGCTGATATTGTGTCCGGAGCCGCTGTTGTGTACACAAACGCCGTGGTACCCGCAGGCACTGTAGCTCACACTGGCGCTGTGTTGCACGCTGCTGCGGTGGTGTACATGGGCGGTGTGGTGTACACAGGCGCTGTGGTGAACGCAGGCAGTGTGGTGTTCACAGGCGCTATGGTGCAAATCGCCACCTACATGCTGCTGCTACCCGTCCGCGGTCATTTTCAAACATTCCCAGACGCGCCGCCGGCGCGAAACGTGACGTCATCGGCGTCCGCCCCCCCCCCCGCGGATGATTGCAGTCATCGGCCCGGAATAAGGAAACAAGCTCCAACCGCGTCCGCGCGCACGTCGACGATGACCGACGAGCGACGAACGACCACGACAACGACGACGGCGACAAAGGCGACGAAGGCGACGAAGGCGACGACGACGACCGCGACGACGGCGACGACCACGACGAGAACGAGGACGAGGACGAGGACGAGGACGAGGACGACAACGACGACGACGACGATTGCGGACCACTCTCCTATGCGGATTCCTAAGCGAACACCTATGCGGATCCCGATGCGCACGGCGGCAGTGACTGGAGCGCACTGGGGGGGAGGAGCGTTACGTCGTAGGGACGAAAGGCGGCGGGGTCCATGACGCCCGTCATGCCCCAAACAATAAAGAAACGCGCTTATCGAAAACCCTGTAAAGAGGCCCCAAAATTCCAACAATGCCGCAGTAAAAGAAAACTTCCCGAAGGGGAACTCGCCGTGATTCCCGCTTCACGAGCTACATATCGCAGCCCGCGATGGCGAGCAGACCAGGAAAACCCTTCCTCAATACCCGCCCCGTCGTGTTGTTCCTTCCTCCTCCCCCCCCACTTCCTCTTCCTGCTCCTCCTCCTCCTCCTCCTCCTGCCTCGTCCCTCCTCCCTCTTCCTCCCCCTCTTCCTCTTCTTCGGGATCGGTCCTTTCTCGACAGGGATTGCGATGGGCGCATCGTTGAAATGTCTGGTAATGGTTTTCCACGCGCCTGGAAACGCGCCAGAAGGATGCACGGCAGTTCCGCTTCAAAGCGGGGCCCGCGGAAAGATGGGAGGCCGTGCTGGTCTTTCGGGGGCTGGGCTCCGTCAATGAAAAAAGGGACATTTGTAGAGACGTATGAGGAAAAGACTCGGGACGGGCGGGTGTATTGGAGCATCGACGATGTAGATTTGGTTAAGATTGTCATCCTTGTCCGTTTGCTCCGTTCTTCTGCCTCCTCCCTCCTCCGTCCTCTCCAACCCCACACTCTTGACAAGCGAGCACTTAAAACACCCAGCTCCTCCAGGTCAATGTCGTCGTCGGCGTCGTCGCCGAGCTTCCCACTGGCTGGCGTGCCAGCCAACACGTAGGTCTCGACTATGATACCCTCGCGGGCCTGGGGGTCGCCTGTCGGAGGGCTACTGGGGCGCATGTGACAAGCCTCCCTCCGACCATTGAGGCCTCCTCCGAACCATCTTAAGTAAATTCATCCTCCTCTCCTCCTCCTCCTCCTCCTCCTCCTCCTCCTCACTTCCTCCTCCTCCTCCTCCTCCTCATCACCATCATCAGCATCCCCATCCTCATCCTCATCACCATCGCCAGCATCATCATCATCAACACCATCATCACCATCATGAATCGGACTGCTCTTTTCCAGACCACCGTTTGCGGTGAACGAATGAGCATCTTCGAACCAAGTCTGCCCCAGCTTTTTGGGGGTAGGAAGGTTCTGGGTGAACCAAAAAAATGTTATAGAGCGGAAGACGGATGACGAGGTCAGGTCATTCGCGTGGGGCACAAGCATGACTTTGACTGCTCGTTTCCAGACCACTGCTTGTGGCGAACGAGATAGCAGCTTCAAACTAAACCTGTCCGACCCCAGAACACCGCGCACGAAGCACTGGAATGGCGAATGAAATGCGACGAAGTTACCTTGATTATAATACTGCAGGAAAGAACAACCCCGAGCGAGACCCCCAAATCCCACCAGCCCTCTGGGCTTAGGTGGTACAACGCGTTTGCCCGTCGCTCTTCCACTGGTACCCTTCCCTCGCCCCCCTCCCCTGGGCCAGGAAAGGGGGGGGGGGGTACCGAGGCGTTAGAACGTCCAAGATGGCCCACGATTGCTCCGAGAGGGCTTCGAAGTCGCAAGATGGTGGCCTTCACGATGGCCCATGCTACTTCAAGATGGGTCAAAATAGCCTCCAACATACCCCCAAGAGGCCCCAAGGCAGCCCCAACATGGATCCAAGTGCCCTTCGGGCCCTCCAATATGCCCAAACCGTTCAAAACCCTAAGGAACATCAATGTGTTTGGCAGTATCGTATGTTCGCTTCCGATGGGTTTGGGAGCCCCAAAATGACCCCAAGATAACCCAAAAGAGGCCCAAGAGGGGCCCAAGAAGGCCGAAGACGGCCCCAAGATTGCCCAAGAGGCGCCCAAGGGCGCTCCAACAGGGCCCCAAGATGCCGTTTGAGAGCCTCCGAGAGCGGGGGGGGGATTTCCCCACCCCCTCTGTTTGAGCCATGGCGCCCAAGACGGCCCCAAGAGGCCGCCCAGACCCCCCAAAGAGCCCCAAGAGGGCTCCATGACTCTCCCAACAAATCGTCACGAGGGCCCCCAGAAGGCCTCAAGAGGACCCCAAAAGGGCACCGTAACCTACGTAACCTAACTTCGCGCATCGCGCCCCGCGATGCGCAAGTATCTTCGCGCCCACGCGCCGCCCCCTGGAGAAGAGCGGCACTCCAACCGAGGACGCGATGCGCGATGCGCGATTATCTTCGCGCCCCTGGGGGTGACCTACATCTCGGGTTGCGTTTGGGCCAAAATTTCGAAACGGATCCAGCCCTGGACGAAAGAGCGCCCCAAGATAGCCAAACATCGCTCAAGATAGCCTCCGGCATACCTCCAACAGGCCTCAGAACAGCCTCAAGATGGCCCAAGATAACCGAGCACGGCTCAAGATAGCCTCCGACAGCCTCTAGCCGAATATGGCTCCAGATAGCCTCCAAAGGGGCCCCAAGAAAGCTGGCAATCAATTCTGGATGGGCTGGTGAGGATATTTTTTTGGTTCGCGGCTCCAAGGCAAAGGTCAGGGAGCGGACGCAACGTCCGGGATGCGGTACGGAACGGATGTGCGAACACAGCCGCCACTATCGGCAGCCAGTTCGCACCTGCAAGACACGCTCGCAGCTGCACATGCACAAAACAAAATGAACTCAATCCACAAGCAAACGCAACAACAAGAATTAGACAAGGGAAGAGACGGGGGAGAAGGAGGAAGAGGAAAAATGATGGGGGAGAAAACAGGCCACGTTTCGTGCACACGCAATAGGCTAAGGGCGGAAGCGATAGCTTGGGATAGCACGAGGCACGCCTTCTCGGGGCAAACCTGCTTCGTGCGTGTTCAGATTTCACCCGCACCTGTGGGCCCGTCCAACTGATGATAAGATTGCCCCGAACAACTGCAAGTACCTCCCCCAACAAAGTTAGTCCCACATTTGAAATTGAATACGTTAACCCGAAGACGAGCACGCCACGGCGTTCCGAAAACAGAATAGTCGAGGACATACCTCATGCATTCAATACGCTGCATCGCACTTGGGCGCTGGCGCCCGCGCCACAAGAAAGACGGAGCTGGGTTCTCTTCGCCACGCGGTAGGCCTTCTTCCGAACGCAGGCAAGCAACAGCGCGCCACTTCGACGTGCAGACAAGTTACCCTCAATTACGGTCAACTGGTCTCGCGAGCTGAGATTCGGGAGGCCAAGAGGACACTCGTCACTGCGTAGCTGATGCGGGAGGCGGGACCCGTGAGGCGAACGACGAACCACAGTAAAGGATTGACACGGAGTACCCGACCACATACCCTGGACCTAGCCTGGATGGGTCCAGCCGAGCAAGGCGCGGACAACTTTTGCACTCAGCAAGCCACGATGAGGCCCGCGGCACATATCCACACAAGTAACTCCGACATTCATAGCAGCAAGCGCGGCCCCAAAACCGCCCGACCTCGCAAACAAGTCTAGGGGAACCTTGCGGCCGCGGCTGCGCGAGAGCCCGGCGCAGCGCGCGGCAAAGGGCGCGGCGCCGCGGCCGGCCAGCCTCGCGAGCTTGCCCCTCCCCACGGCCGATCGCTCGCAGAGCCGCGAGGAGACCCGCGCGTGCTCGTCGTGGCGCGCTACGCTGTGGAAGCTCCGCCTGCGGCCCCTCTGCTGCATCGCGACGAGAGAGCGCGCTCGCACGAGAAGATCGCGGCTGGCGCTCCCGCGCAGCAACGCGTAGAGGCCCAGCGCGACGCATGAGGGCCCTCCGCAGCTCCACGCCCGACGCGAAGGACCAGTGCAACTGCCTCGAGCTGACGTCGCGCGGCAACTCCCCGCTGGCGCGGCCCCGCTGCCGAGCCCGTAGTGCTGGGGTGAGTGGCCAATGGCGCTCTGGGACGAGCGGCGCGCTGAGGTCGAACTCCTGCGTCTTGGACGGGGCCCGCACCACGGGTGCCAGCAGGCGCGAGGTCAGAGCCCGCGACCAGCCCGCGCCCCGCGCCCACTCCGCGAAGTCGAGGGGACGCGAGTCCCACTGCGGGCCCGACAAGGCGGGCAGCGGCCTCCAGCCGAGGAAGTCGGCCAACTGCTCCAGCGCGTCGCAGTAGCCCGCCTGCGTCGCCGGGCGGACGCGCTCCTGCTGCAGCCCAGTCAGCTGAGGGGCCAGCCAGAGCAGCCGCGACCGCGTCGCCGCCCCGAGCCGCCTCAGGCGGCTCAAGGCCTGGTGGGCCGACGGGCCAAAACGGCCCGACCAGGCAGCTTGCTGCGGTCCACCAGAACGGATGGGCCGGGAGGCCCCAGGGGCCGCCAACTTCGCCTTGCTGCCGCGCCGAGGCCAGTGGACGCGGCGATGAGCTCGGATGGGGGCCAAACGATCACAATGCTTGAGCCCGACAGCCACGGCAACGGCCGCAGACACCAGACGCTGAACGTTCATGGCCAGAGTGGGGGATCTGCACTTGGCGCGAACACAGATCACCGACATGTTGCCCAAAAGAAGAAGGATCCGCAAGATGCAAACGCTGCAATCACGAGCGATGTGACTGACAGTCCACGCGCGGGCACGCGCCTCGAGCTGGGCCCGAGATCCCGGGGCGCCCTTCCACCGACCAGCGTAGGCAACATTCCACTCGCGTTCCAGCTGGCCCGCTGGGACTTCGGAAAACTTGCGAGAGCGGCCCGACACAAGAACGTGGCCCTCAGAAGCCCCTGAAGTCTCCAACTCCCCCTGGCGGTCGAGCGCATGGGGCCGAGGCGCCTCCGATGCACTCGGAAGACCTCGAAAGCGACCGCGCCCACGGACGCGACCAGCGCGGGCCGCCCCCCCTGCCCCCGGCGCACCGAACCGACCCCGAAGCACCAGCAGGACGCATCGCAGCCGAAAGCTCGACAGGGCCACGGTCGGCGCATGGGCGCACGGGCAAGAAGAGACAGAGCACGGACTCAGCAAACTTCGCGATATACCGAAGGCCAGAGAGGTTACCAACGCGTGTAGCTCTCGTGAATGAACACACACGCCTTCTTCATCAGCCACGGGGGATCTGGGGAAAGCGAAAACAAAGCCGCGACGCGGCCCGCGAATCGCTTGAGCTCCTGACCTGCGACGCCCGGCCGAACCTCCATGAGATAATCCGCTGCCAGCTTCAGCTCCCAAAAGAGATGAGCTTTTGGCGCCACTCGCCCACAGACCCCGCTAAGGCGAAGCCGATTGCGTCGCTGCCCCGCCCCTGGCGCTTCCGGAGACGACGCGGGCCCGCTGCCCTCGAGCTGAGACTGCGCCCCCAGGGCGGTCGGAGTTGCGACCGACATATTCTGCGCCAAAGAAACACTGTTGTCGATGCGCAATCAGCGAAGCGACCCGGAGTCGCCGAGAGGCGGGAAGAGGCGCCTTATCAAGGATCAACGGGGTCTCGGGGGAAACGCAGCTAATCTGATGCTGGTTCGCATCCTGCACAAGGGCCACCGTCCTATTCCATCCCACAAGCACCGCCCGAGCCCGATGCCGGGTCCAGCCCCGACCGCGAAACGAATCCGGCAGCGACGCGACGAGGGCCAGGGAGTTGCGCGCAATGGGAAGGGGCGGCATCACGAAAAGAGCACCTGTACTGGACGGGAAGGGCGCACTGGTAGTAGCACACTTCGACACCCCCCCGTGGGGCACAGGGACAGCGCAGGGCTGACATTGAAGCTGGGCAAGGGCCTCGCCAGAGGGCAACGACCACCCTAAAAAAATCTCTAACCCGAAGGCCGGGGACACGAGCATCCCAAATCAGTCGGAGACCGCCTGACTGTCGAACGGAAAACACGCCGCGTTCTTCGAGCGCACCGCCACTGGCTTCAAGCACGCCAGCCCCTCAGAGTACCGA